CACACATAATAAGACCAATGACTGGCCTTTCTTCTTTAATGAAAAGATTTGCTAGTTTTATGTAATACATCAATGAGATTATAAAATCGAATAAAACAATGAAATCACATCCGTGCCTGTGGAGCGCTTTGAACACACGGCTTTTACATTTAGTGCTTGTGTGGTATCTCTTAAGTGGACTGACTTCATAATAAAATATCAATACCAATGAAATTGTTTTATCTATTTAAATTCCAATTTTCAACTCTCCAGGTACTAGATGCTCCCTAAAACAAGTGATGTATTGACTTGTACATCCACTTCTGTGAGGGATGTCAGTGAATTGAATTCTTTGAATTACTGAGCACACGTTTCACATCCAGCTGTGTTAACCCCTCACGTGTCGGCCGGGCTTGTACTACGTGAACAACACATTTATTGCAAATGATTTTCACCCTCCTCCAGCAGAGGTATTAGGAGTGTGGGATATTGGACCCAGCACAATTTATACCCAGAGTTTTTTTTCAATTAAAACAAACTTTGCTTTAATAGTGCACTTCATTTGAATAAATGTGAATGCTGCCATCCGTACCTTGGTGCGCACAAAGGCAGACCAAGATGCCTTGAAAGGTGGGTGTTGTTTCTCTTCCAAACTAATTTTGGTGCTGTTTGACTGAAATATGAACAAAGACATCGAAACCAAAAACAGGATGTGATGTCACTAGATGCAACCCTAAAATGGACAAAATGCTCAAACACACCGGGTTCTTCTCGTCGTGTGAGTTACAGTATGTTGCCCATTAAAGTTTGATACAGGCGTCACAACCGCTGTCTCCTTACAGCAGATCTCTGTGTGCTATGGAGGAATTTCTGCCAATGTTTTGACTCCTTAACACATTTTAGAAGCTCTTTGTTAGTTATCAACTGGTAAAAACACCACCATATACACACACAACACACAACGAGTGCATTTAACCCAGCACACAGCAGTTTGGGATGTTCGGCAAGTGCTTTCTCAAAATATAAGTCATAAAAACTGTCCAATCAGTTTGTGACCATATCCTTATGCCTTAATTTTATATCTTTAGGTTCTGTGTTAACTTGTTCCCCATCATTGACAGAATTTTCTGGCTTTCCGTGTTTTCACTGTTATATGGTAGGAGGAGCTATTACACATCTTCTGAAAGATTACTGAATTTCTGGATGAAAACCCGGTGAAGAAGAAGCAGAAACAAGCAATCGCATGTAAAATAAGTGATCATCAAACATGAATCATTATATAAATCAAAACTGCCTAACGTTACTGAATGAAATGTCCACTCAGAAAGTGATTTAGGACTGTGAAGCTTTGGATGCGTTGATGGAAGCGATCTACTCCATCTATGTTTTGATCATCGTTTTTTTTTTTT